TCCCGTTGTGTACCTCTGCTCTTGTCCACACTTCTACAGCCTTTGACGATTCTACCGGGCCCAATCCGTCTTTCAATTCCTCTCCCATCATCTCCAGCCGCCCCGTGGTCACAGCTGCATCTGCCACTCGCCATTCTTTCACGGCCGTCCCGCCCAGTCTGCGTTCGGGCCGCCATCGTGGAAGCCCAACAAGATCACGTCTCCTGCTACCCATTTGGAGCTATGACGCCAGAAAAGCGCAGAAAGCCTCAAAAAGAGAGGGCGCAACGGACGGGCCGGAGCGGTACGCAGCTTGCAATGGCTACAGATGCAGCAGAACGAGCTCCAATGACAATGAGACAGACATCCTAGGAATGGCGAGAGTTCCTGGCCTTTGGCGTCTTTTCGGAAAGCAAACGCGCTGGCACATTAGCCTCGCCCCTTATTCGTTTTCCTCCGCCCCTTGATTTTGTCCTGTCATGGCTTTCCATCGGAATGTGCTTCCTATCTTCATCTCAATCCCTCTGCCGTATCCTTCCCCGTATCCTTTCAGCTCGCGATAAGGTTTTGGGTCCTTATCAGTACCTAGGTGCCTCCGCTCTGACTCCCGTTATCTTCCATCTGGACTCTTTTCCGTCGCGGTCGTCACCTTGCTGCGGCTTGATACATGAGTTTCACATTTTACATGTTGCAGCCCCAACAGGTCCCATCCATTGTATGCGTGTGTCGTTCTCTCTTCCCCTGCCTCTTATCCTCTTCGCTTTCTTTCCTCTGGCCGCAACTTTGACCCACATCCTGCACCGAGCAAACTTATCTGCCTGCGTTCGGTTGTATCTTCGTGCATTGAATTGGTCCTTAGAGATTCCAGATCTGTTCCTCCGTCGCTGCCATTGTCTATCGTCCATCGTTTTATTTGCCTATTTGCTTCACCGTAACTTTATTTGCGGTGTTCGTTGGGCCTTATCGCTGCATGGCGTTCTCTCACTTTTCATTGTTGCGTCACACTAAGTTCCACGCGTCTCTTTATCGCCAAGCCTTCCTTGCACATTTATCCCTGGTGTCATATGTGACTCCTGCCCACAATCCATTGCTGGTATCTGCCGGTCTGTCATTAACTTGCCAATGGTTTGTACTTCGATCGTTTCAATAACTAACCAGACTTTCGCTTCAGTCTGTCCGTTTTTCCATTAAAAATCGTACCTAATCCTCAACAAACCACATACACACAGTCACAATGTCTGCCGCAACACAACAACCGGTCGTCCCCCCGCGCCCGATCAAGGCCCAAGACACGCCCAAGATCCCGCCACGCCCCGCCCGCCGTGCTGTCGACCGCTCTCTTTCGCCTAGCCGTGACCGGTTTGCCCCGTCGCCATTAGACAGCCTTCTTTCTAAGAGCCCCAGCCGGGCTACTTTCAACCCTGGCTCATCAAACCTGGCCTCCGATCCCATCGACCGGGCCGGCTCCGTCGACCTCCCAACTGTCGGTCAGGAGGGCATAGAATACGATGCTGTCGCAGAAGAGCTCAGCGCATCCAAGTCACATGCTGGCAGCAGCCGCGCCGCCTCCCCGGAACACACTCGTACCGTGGGCGACGACGTGAAGCTGCACGCCCCCAAGCCGTCGCTGCCTGCCATTAGCGCTAAGCAGCGCGTGGCCACTGTCACCCGCACTGATAGCGAAAAAGCTGCCTCGTTCGGCATTGGCCAGGCCACCAGCGGTGGTGACACCAAGAAGAAGGCCAGCACCGCCAGCCAAGACCTGTCGTCCAACGAAGACGGCCTCGAGGATGACGAACACGGCATCCCGGAGATCGGCCGTCAGGTCCCCATGTACCCAAACGCCGGCGATGTCCAGGCTCCCTCTCCGGGACCCGACGCCATGGCTGATGGCGGTAAGCGGAACCACAGCCGCAAGAAGAGCGCGCGTGGTTTCGGTGACCTGCCCCCAGGCAGCTATGGCCTCCACGGCCACGGTGTTATCGCGTCCGACAAACTGGAGAAGGCTTACTATGGCAAGCATCCTGAGCTCATTGAGAAGGAGCACACCCCCCACGACTCCGATCGCGCTCAGGACTACTCCATGACGAGCGCTGACCTGAACAAAATTGTGCGCGAGACGGCCAGCCGTGGCTCTGGAATTGGTAAGTTGAACAGCACACAAATTGATAAGAGTTGCGACGTCGCATAGCCCGCACCCGCATTTGCAGCTTGCCACAGTTGGTATCGGCGCTAACATTTTACTGCAGCGACGCATGGCAGCGCCGGCACCCCCAGCGAACAGGTTGGTTGGCAGGCTATTGACGAGTCGGTTTCCCGCCCCGCATCTGTTGCACTCAAGGGCAAGGCAAACAGTTTCGGCAGCCAATCCTCCGCTGCAGACAAGGGCGAAACCCCTGGAATCTCCTTTTCTGCCCCCAATGATGACAACAATGTCATCCACGTCGATGACCCCAACAACCATCGTAAGAGTGTAATGTTCAACGAAGACGAGGGGCCCGATTTCGATTACGAAGGTGAAGCACCTATTCTCGCGCCCGACGAGGTCGCTAAAGACCCATCCGGCTACGAGCACGAACCCGCCGTGGTTCCTGCATTTGAGCGCCGCCTTAGCTCGTTTGACGGCGAGGACGGCTCCAGCCGCCATTCTAGTCGCCCTGCCAGCATCTATCGCGTTTCGTCGATCCCCCAGGAGTCCGCCATTGCCGAAGAGAAGGCCGAAGACGAATACGAGCCACTGTTCCAGGACGGCGACAACAAGACCGGCCGTGCCGCTTCTGTCTCCGCCAAATCGATTACCGAGGAAGGTGCTCCCCGTTTCCCCAGCCGCGACATTTGGGAAGACGCCCCGAGCAGTGCCCACCACACCGCCGAAGTGTCCACACCCGACATGCCAATTGAGCAGCACCAGGAGGGCTATGTTGCCCAGCGCCCCTCGACCGACTCTCCACGGGAGGGTGAGACCCCTGCCCAGGCTTTCGCTCGGCAACAGGAGGAGCTCGCCGAGAAGGAGCTACAGGGAGCCGATGCATTTGCCGAGAACCGCAAACCCCGCGGGCCTACGTCGTCCCCATTGGCCAAAAAGGAGATTCTTGCCCCGGCGGGCAACACCCACGCGCCCTCCAGCAGCCCCGCCAGCGCCAGCAGCCTCCGTCGCCCACAACTCGGCCAGCGGTTCCCCAGCCGTGATGTCTGGGAGGATGTGCCCGAAAGCCTGCGGCTTCAGACTGTTGTCTCGAACCCACAGGGAGAGGAGGCATCTTCTCCTCTCGACGTATCAAAGCCCACCGTGCCCCAGAGACCGGCACGGAAGCTGACGGACTCGTCAGACAAAGCAGCACCAGTCGTACCGAGCCGGCCTAAGCCCAAGACTGCTTCGTCTGAAGAGGATGCTAGCAAGCCCGCGGTTTCCGACAAGCCCAAACCTGTTGTTCCCACTCGCCCGGCCCGCCACCAGCAGCCCAGTGCCGACCAGGAGCCCGAGTCTGTTCCCCGGTCTAAGCCGGCCGTCCCGGCTCGTCCTTTTGGTGGCAAGATTTCTCAACTGCAGGCCAACTTCATGTCAGACCTGAACAAGAAGCTTAAGATTGGCCCCCAGGCTCCTAAGAAAGATGACCCGGAGCCGACTGAGAATGCCCCTGAGGCTGAAAAAGCGCCGCTTGTGGATGCCCGCAAAGGTCGTGCCCGTGGCCCCCAGAGAAGCGCCCCGCGCGCTGCCGCTGCTTCGACGACAGCCCCTGCCACTTCCTCCGCACCGACCCTGGCCTTTTCCACAACCACAACCCTCTACAGTATCGACCCCGAAGATGGCGGTCTGATCGTCACGTCTGGCAAGATTTCGTCATCAATTCCAGAGGCCGAGAAGGACGAACCTGCTGCAGTTGAGCCTGATGCGGTTGAGAAGAAAAAGGGGGAGGAGCCTGCTGCGAAGGAGGAGGCAAAGGCTGAGACTGCCGAGCCAGCCGAGGCAGCTGAACCAGCTGAACCAGCTGAGCCAGCCGAGAAGACCCAGACGATTGCCTCTAACACGGCTGGCGAGCCCCTCGTCGAGGCCAAGGTTGAGGCATCGGGCGATTCAGTAGAACCCGCTGCTGTTGAGGAGCCAGTTGTTGCCGAGGAATAACTTGGGGGCGGTGTCTGATTTATCGTGGCGCATTTTGTTTTCGATTCTCTACATGTTACGCATGTTTATATTTTCTTTTGGTCCCGTGGAGGCTTAACTAGAAAAGAACACATTAATTCATAAGACGGGGGATTTGCATAGTAGCATAGCTGTTCCTGCGGCGAGTTGGATTTTATTTTCCTGCGGATTTTCAGGTATCCCTCATTTGTTCTTCACTGTTTCTTTCTTGACGTTTCTTTTTCTATTTATAATTTTACACGCTGCATTGCTGGGTAGTCTCTTGGCTTGTTTCCTATATTGAAACCGTCGTTTTTGTGCATTCTCAGCTCACTCCTTGTGATTGAGCAAAGCTTGACAGTACGACCGCAGACACAACACATTTGCTAGACACTGGTAAACATTACCACAATCTTTATGTTAACCCACCCTTAAGAGTAGCCTGAGTCATGGCTTGCGATCTGCTGGTATTGTACACACATATAAAAGCGCCAGTCTTTTCATGACATGGTAGAATTGAATATGGACAATTATATTTACTTAGTGTAGCTAGTTCAATTTGTAAAACAATCTTGTATTGAAATAAAATAACGTACTGATAACGGGTAGAGAAAACGTCGTAAGCATCAAAATAAACAGAAAAGAGAAACATAGTATCTGTTGAACAGGCCTGGCCAGCAGGGTATCCAATAGCCTCTTCTGTAATATCATTCTGTAATGTCATAAATGCCATGAATGTCACAAATAAATCAATCTGGTCTTCATCTTCGTCTCTCCAAATTCTGCATCCGTCCTGACAGCCGGTATTCACCGGAAGCGCCCGGCATCCGCCGAGGTCTTCTGTCGCTGCCACCTACCTTATCCGCCCACCACCGTCGGATGCTGCCGGTGAGGGACCGCTTCAAAAATTCTGATTCGCGGTGCTGGGGATTCTGTCGCTGCCGCTGGACCGCCGAGCAGAGGCTCGGTTCACACGCCGACTATTGTTCTGCATTGCCGCAAACTGGCCCACTTCAAGCTTGGCCCGAGCTACCTGGGCCTTGGTGACAACAAAGCCGCACTGGGCGACGTTACCGTTGGACATGAAGAGGGGCCAGACGTGGGCAGCGACGTCGTTGATGCTGTCCAGAGGTAGAACAGGCGACGGCGCATTTCCATCGTCTTTGTCCGGTGTGTCCGGCAGGACACGCCACTCGTTAACCTCGAGTTCGTCGTCATCCAGGTCAAGGAGGGCCTGGAAGACGTCGCGCAGAGGTTGAATGTCGGTGCGCCACGTCTCAGCAGTCTCGGCACACCAGCGGCCGAGGGCGACGAAGAAGGCGTCGCTTGCCTCTTGCGAAAGAATACCTCCGACAGCACCCCGGACACTGAGTGCCCGCCCGACGGCCTTGGCGCGGGCCGCCGCGTGGGTCTCTGCGTGGAATAGATCGTTCTGGACCCCGTCCATGGTCGCGGGCCTGGCCTCAGCACGGAGAAGCACACGGCGCACAAAGTTGAGGTGCTCGTCATCATCGATGCGTTCGTGGAGCCAGTCGCTCAACTCACTGCCGTGCTCCAGAGTGTAAAATGGCTGGAACAGCTTGGCAACGGCATTTTTGGCCAAGAAGCGCAGGACGGCAGCTGTGCGCATACGCTTGGCGTCAAGAGTGTTGGACGGCGGCAGCGGTATATTGGTGTCTCCAACAGCGCTTGTGAACGCCTTCCAGTCATCGCTGTCGCGGGCAAAGACGTGGGCCGGTAGGTCGGTGGCGAAACAACCGCTGACAAGGCGATGAGCACTCTGGAAGATGGAATCCAATTTTGCCGAACTAATTCAAGTAATTGCATGTTAGTGCGTTCGAGGGCGAAGAGTTGTGGGAGGTCAAGGGCATCGAGAGGATGGGCTTACGCGTCTTGCAGAGGCAGGTTGTGGATCGGGATGGCATAGCCGTTGAGCGTATCCAGCTGCCTCTTGAGCTCGCCCACTTTGGCATGGTGCTGCGTTTTCAGCGTTTCGACTTGGGCAGTCAGTTTGGCGAGTTGGGCTGATTGCTGGGACAATTTTCCTTCGAGAGATTTCTTGTCCCGCGTGAGTGTATCATTGGCCACAAGGAGGGCTTCAATCTTTTTCTTCTCTTCCGTAGCCTCGGACTTCAAGGTGGCATTCGATTCCGTGATGTTTTTGAGGTCACGGTCTTTGATGGCCGCTTTCTTTCGCAGCTCTTCCACACGGCCTTCGAGCCTCCGAATGGTTGTCCCTTGGGACGCAATTTGAGACTGCATGTTGTCGTTTTCAGCTTTGACCTGGTGAAAATGTTCCAAGCTGGCACGCAGAGCCCCTTGGCAGTTTTTGTTGTCAGAGAGTACGGTTTCGACGTCCTTGAAGACATTGCGATTCTGCCAGAGAGTCTCCATGCTCTGCTGGAGTGTACTCAGTCTCTCACTGAGCTCGATGGTCTGCAGCGGCGGCGAAGGCGGTGATGTGCCGTTTGACGGTGCATTGAGAACGGCAAGAGTGCCGTTGAGGCCGTTTGGAGAGGCCATGCTGATACTTGTGTAAATGTTTGAAGTGAAAGAACAAGGAATGTGGATAGCGGTGGTTGTGGTAAGGTATGACGGGCAAGCCAGGGTGTAGGTACTTGCAAGGTTAGGCTTGACGATGGATCTCATCAAACTGATGCTCGAGGATCATGCCGGGTTATATATCCTGCGCTCGCCAAGCTTGCTCAAGTAATCGATGAGCAGGAATGCAATTACTTTGTTGCCATGCGGGCTTCTGCGGCGCATGCATCGGGTTGTCATGTCTTGTAGGCCTCACCTCGTTCCTCATCATCTTGTAGATTTCTCCTCTTCCTGTTCCTGTTCCTGATTTGATTCTGATCATGGTCTGGCTTGCTAGCTTTCATCCAGTGCTTCCTTCCATCATCCTCTCCGTTGTATCCGTTTGTTTATTTCCAGCCGTTGACAGCCCCGGGATTTGGTACGAGGCTGGCCTCAATTCATTTTGTGCACATCTTTCCGAATTTCATGATGATTGTTGTGGTGCGGCCTCGGCCTTGCCCAGTGAAATCATAGATCACATCACCCTCTTTTTCTGCGGGGATTCCTCGATGCAGAAGGTTGTGTTTGCCGTTGTCCGCCTTTTTGAGCCTCTTTGCGTCCTTTCACCTCATCAATTGTGTGCTCATAGGCAAAGCGAAGAGAGGGAAAATGGTCTGGCCCCCAACTTTCCAAGCTGCAACTTACGGCGTTGACGTGGCACCGTTTCAGTGCTTGCTGTGGGCTGTCGGCCGACCCTTCTCCGCGCAACTGCGACAGGCCGTAAGTGCTTCGGACTCGGCTGGACCAACCACAGGATGAGGCGACCCCGATCGCCAGAGAAAATACGGATTAGAAAGCACAAAATTCAAGGCGACAAGGCGACTAGGCAACAATTCTGCAAAGCGAACATGATCCTCGGACGCGACAACAGCGCAAAACCGCGACAACAGCGCAAAACCGCGACGAGGTAGCAAAGAGCGGACACGGGCAGTTCGTGCAACAGTGAGGCTTATGCGGGGGAGCCTCTTGTGTACACAAGACGTTGTGAGCGTCAAATAGGAGGCCTTTTCTGGACGCGAACGGACGAATGGCATGACTTGTGCAGAAATGCGTCAGTGATCATGGACAACAACAATAAACAACCATAAGCCGAAGCTACGGATTGACTCAACCGCATCGCAGGCAGCCATTACCACACGAATGGTGCGGCAGAGAGAGACTGAGAGGTTAGAAGGCGAGAAGTGAGAGCCGGCAGTATTCCCGCTCGACGAGGTGGTCGACGACGATGAGAAGAGGACGGACAAACAAGGATACTATTTTCGAGAGAAATCAAAGCCCCTTAATCGAGAAAACATGACGCATCACGTGTATGGCACGGTCGTAATGTTCTTTGTTTTGGCTTGCCGACTATGGAAGGCGCGACCGGTCCGAATGACTTGTCCCTTACCTTTTGGAACCACACGGCGCACAATTTACAATGTTTTTATTGCCTGAATAGCAAGAATAAATGAAGTGAAAAATCACGTTCACCTTCATCAGCATCAGCCATCATAAGCAGTCTTTCGTACAGCCCATCAGCTCACCGACAGACGACTGCACGCGTGATGCTGCCCAAATCTCGTTTAGCTATGTGCTGTACTTGAGTAGACCCTTAATCATGTTTATTTGTAACTCCTTTGCCTTGTCATTTTGTTTTTGTTGTACAAACCTAACTTAACAATCCTCAGCAGATGGCCAATCATGGCATTAGCGTTGCCTTTGTCGGCTAAGACACTTATCCGTTAGTTTATACGAGTCGGCCGCCTTGAGACGTAGAGACTTACGGTACACTTGATAATAATTAATGAGATCGAGGAAGCGGATGGCGAGTTGGGAGGCTACGGACCAGGGTTTTACCTTACTGTAATATATGCTTGGTGGTGAGACTAAGCTCGGTGAACGTCGACGTCACGAATGGTGGACTGCGTAGGAGTGTAGGTTTCAGTCTAGAAGGGGTTTCCCTACACTTAGAACCCACAGTAGACTGGTATAACTTACGGTGATAGCCGTATAGTAGTAGTAATGTAATAATAATATTTCCTTATATTATTATTCACGATATAAGTGATCATTACTCTTCCCTCCCCTCGAATTATTCAAGTCACTATCCAACGAACAAAAGACGAGGCCGATACAATAAAAATATAAATCACCATCCAACCCAGCTCCCAGCACTGACACCATCAAAACAACACAACTGAAGCTGTGAGCGCCACCAGCGCCATTCCTGCAAACGTGACAGGATTGATTGAGTTTGACGTCGTGCCGGCCATGTGGATGAGCACTCCGTTGGACTGCGAAAGGTTGCGCTTGCTGGCGATCATTCAATCGTTGAAATCCGCTGAGACGTCATGCTCGTTCGTGCCGTTGAGCTGGCACCATTCCAAGCAGGTATTTACAACGTGCACGGGACTAGGGTGGCAGCAATCGACCATCCACGGATCGGACGCGTTGGTGCCAGGGATGACGGCGTAGGTAAGGTTGCGCGGGATGGGTAGGACGTCGGGAACGAGGTTCGTCAGGCAGCTCGAAGTACTGGAGTTTGACATGGTCGTGGTGCTCGTCTACTGCCTACAGAACGAGGCAAATTTGACTGGTCTTTTCAAACGATGGAGGTGGTTAAAATAAAATAAAAGCGAAGATGTGTAAGATCTACCGTGAAACAGCGAAACAGCGAGTTGCGATAAAAAAAGTCAAGAAGTCGAAAAAATCAAAAAAAAAAAAAAGAGGAAGGGACAAGGGGCGTTGTATACAGTGCCAACTATTTATCGGTACTATCGAGTTTGTTTGGTCAAGTGCAGTCAGCCTCTGCTTGACTGGGGCACAGTTGCTTCTATAATAATAGGAAATGCGACGGACAGGGCCTGGACCACGGTGACTACAGTATTTATTATACACCCAGTCTTATTGTGCGACTTTTAATTAGGCTGATAGTACCAGGCCCCCTTTTATGCTGTACCGAACATGTTGGACGCCTAACTGGAGAGTGTTTGCCGGTCGTATATCCGGGCCAGTAGACAGACCGTCAAGTTGGCTGTCTACTGTGGTTGACTATGTCCAAAATCCATAGATAACAAAATTCGAGGATTTTCTGAAAATGGGGGCCAAACCGGGTGTATTTGTCGGGCATCTAGACATCGGATGTGTATGATACACAACAAATCGAAAAGAAAGCTGTTTGCAGGGATATTGATAAGACTGTGCGTAGCATTCTGGGCAGTCTCGGCAGGATAAAGATTTTTTTTTTTGAAAAAAGACTGCCAAACTAAGTGGGAGGCTTGATGTTGCGAACTACGCAGCTACATATACGCACGTCGTCAGAGACAAGCCGGATATTTTGGGCTCTACGTTGAGTTCCAACTTTTTGCGGCTCGTACACATCAAATTTTACAAATTATCATGGTAGTAGGTGCTCAAAGTCATATGTGGCCCCCCGTTAACTGTGTATATTGTTCCTTGTGAGAAACTGCGCCCAACAAAACCAGATACCCTTGGATGCAACGAGCCATTCGATCCGTCAAACCTAATCTATAACAGAAGATGCCACCGGCCTTTGCGATCTTTGAATATCTGATCTCGACGGCCCTCAAAAAATATGGAGCCCCGATGGCAGTCCGTTTGTCATGTAGTCTCTCAATAAGGTCAATCGCAACGGTAGCTGCAACTGCGTTGTCGGCATTTGCCTGGCCGAAGATGATGCCTATTGAGACAAGAACGGCCGTGCTGGAAGTCCTTAGAGGCATGCCGACCGGCGTACCTTTATATCATTCTATCGATGGATGCGATGGCAATAACACGTGGCCAACCGGGCCGTACCCTTCGCATCCCCGGTATATATCCCCGGTATTGATCGGTGGTATACACTAGCGGTATCATGATAAGCGGTGGTAGGCACAATACTCCGGGTGTATATGTATGGGTTGGTAGCGCCGGCAAACAGTAAACAAGAACTCTTACCTACGTCATACCAAGAACTAAAATTACTGTACACTGATAAACCGATCTCTTTTTTCATTTTGCGAATGAGTTTCCTCCATTACTGCATTGTCTAGACAAGCCTTCACCACTCGCTGCCCTTGTAGATAATAGACATATCATGAGACTCGTACAATAAAATACTTATTGAAACTAGTTTTAAATTAGCAGACTATTTATTGTGTTGATTTCTTATTATACTCTTTAGATGTCGAAAGCGGCTTATAGGGGCGCTTAGGTTACTGGTAGTAGCCTTCAGTATACAGTGTAATTAATACGTCGTATGACTTGCTATTTACTGTGCATTTCCCCTCCCCCTACACAGTCAGTGTGTAGTTCGTTCCACTGGTTGTTAAATGTCACGCGGTGCTGCTGAGAGTGGCGAGCCACTGGGTCTAGCTGTCGACGAGACCGGTGCCGTTGAGTAATGTGAGGAGGATAACGGATAGGATAAGCAGTGATAAGAAGGTCTCTCAAGGACGAGGTGTTGGGGCTGGCGAAGGACGTGCGGAAGCGAGGACGGGCGTGTCTTATATCACTAGTTAGAGAGGTATATGCCGCTTGAGAACAAGTGGTAAGATTAGCCTTGAAGGACGCTACCGCCCGACGACGACGATGATGGCACCAGTCCTTGTCCCAGTCCAGCCGCATCCCAACTCAAAGTCAACTTGACGAGGGTCTTTCGAAGAGCATGGCCAAGAACGGGACGCCGGCAGCAACAATCATCACCATCATAGGAAAGGAAAAAGCGTTGAAGATCGCGAACATGAGTTCGACGAGGAGCGGGGACAAAAGGCCATGATCCAGGACGTAGCCGCAGCAGCAATTTTCCGAGGAACAACTCAAGCGGCCACCATACGAGAGTCCGTACTTTCCGAGGCCAAGAATATATTAAGGGTTCGCGGCGCGCGCGTATGAACAAACTCTTTCGAAGCTTGAAAACACGCGGCCATGAAATGGCCTCCACTTCGGGTCGACTGCAGCTGCTATTCCGCAAGCAGGAGCTACTGCCACTGGTTGGTATCTTTATCGGACCGCGCGCTGAACCTGCTGCGGGTAATGGTTAGGACAGGAGGCTGCAAAAGTCAAACATTAGATAGGTGTCAATATTCGACTCCGAAATTGGAGTATGTACGTAGGAAGTGGTTGAATTACATCATCATACTTTTCTTTTCGTCAGACAAGTCGACAACTGAAAACAACCTAAATCAACATTCGGGAGAATTCTCGTGTGGAGGAGATGGCCGTTTTCTCGTCTTACTCAACAATATAGTCGGCTGAGTTTAAGAATACAATAAAGTGGAACGACTGAACATTAGAGGACGGCTTCTTTTCGAAACTGTAATAGTCAATGAAGTGCCACATAATCTAAACGGCTATTCGCATTGTAAACAGTTCGTCCCTTCTTCCAATGTGGTGGGACGACTCAATCAAGTCATACTATAGAAAATGTTGTATTTTAGTTCCGTATTCATAGGCAACCGTTCACGTGGCCGTCAGGGTGCCTCGGGCATTTAGTCCGCCTAGACCGGCAGCCGTGGTCCTTACTCCCTCCGCGGAGTGGATGATGAGACTTTTGGTCGTATGATGCCTTGGTAACGTTGGTTTGCCAAAAGAAAAGGAATGTGGACATGGTGGATGGACATCTACGGGTCGTTCAGTTGGATAAAAGCTGATAAGAGCCGAAGCAGGGGCCTCCATGCCGAGCTGGTGAGCTTTTGGATTCTCGGACAAGCCTGCCGTATGCCATCTAGTGAAATATGAGAAACAAATGAGGTGTGGCCAGATGGCATTCGTCGAGGATGGTTATTATTTACTATAAACGGCAATGAGGGAGAAAGTTTCCAGGGAGTGGGCACTGAACGGCAAAGGTAAGCAAACGCAAGTGTTGCTTTGACCTACCATTTTTGTCAATATTCGTAAATAAATTGTTGAATCACGAACTGCACACTTGAACTGCGAAAACCTACATGAATGTTCGGCTCGCCGGACAACTTCCTATACTTTTATAAAGATGCATCCTTTATTCCATATTGTCTTCTAATACCCTCTGTTGTGGGGTTAGAATGGCCCCAAAAAAGCCGACTATATGAGCATAGCAAACAAAAATCGACGAAAAGGAAGAAAAGGAAGAAAGGAAGAAAGGGAGGCGTTCGGCTCCCCGCGTTTCGGAGACTGGTCTTCTCCGATCAGGTTTATCCAAAGTACGGAAGATCTGCACAGTAGTTCTGAGAGTGAGCGGGCGCCCCGTGCTAATCTGGAGCAAATATAACCCCATACAATAATATCTCAAGGATGGGTGCAATACTTTGGCACCCATGGAAGAATATGGTGATCTTATATAAGGTGGATCCTACCCTATTTTAGCCGGGAAACGTACACATGAGCGGGGAACGACAGAACAGGAAATACTGAGGATGAAAGACAGCCAAGAATGGACAAACGAGAAGATCAGGGAGACAATGCGGAGGAGGGCACGACAATACGGGGAAACTATATAAACTGCCGAATGGAACCGCTTGGCGCCTTGTCTTGTCCTGCCTTCTTGTCGTATCGTTTTCGTGGTCCACAAACACCTTGCAATTCGTTCAAAAATAACCAAACACCTAACCAACATGGTCGCCCTCACATACTTGGCACTTGCTGCCACGGCCGTCTCGGCCGCCTTGGCTGCCCCCACGGCTGAGGCCGACGCGCCTGACTTTGTCATCGGCCCCTCTGAGGCGGCTCTGGAGGCCCGTCAGGACTACAACCAGAACTACAAGACGGGAGGCAACGTCAACTTCCAGCCCACCAACAACGGCTACTCGGTGTCCTTTTCTGGTGCCGGTGATTTCGTCGTTGGCAAGGGCTGGAAGACGGGAACCACCCGGTTAGTTTTTCTTTGTTTTTCTCTTTCTTGGACTATCCTCGCGTCCCTTGTTCTTTCTATTTTCGCTTCGCTCGACCGTATCACTAATCCCTCTGTAGCAACATCACCTTTGACGGCTCCACCACCCACTCCGGTGGCACTGTCCTCGTCTCCGTCTACGGCTGGTCCCGCAACCCGCTCGTCGAGTACTACATTACCGAGTACGCGTCCGACGGCAAGGGCTCCGCCCAGGGCAGCAAGGTCGGCACCGTCGAGAGCGACGGGTCGACATACGACGTTTGGAAGCACACCCAGGTGAACCAGCCGTCGATTGCGGGCACGACGACCTTTACGCAGTACATTTCGCAGCGGCGCACCGCGCGCCCCGGCAGCGGTACGATTACGACCAAGAACCACTTTGACGCGTGGGCGTCGCTGGGTCTCAAGCTGGGCTCCATGGACTACCAGGTGCTGGCGACGGAGGGCTGGGGCAACGCCGGCGGCAACAGCAAGTACACGCTGAGCACGTAAAACGTCCCAATCTCAACGAGCGAAGCGAAGGGTGGCGAAAAGAAAAGAAGAAAAGGAAAAAAAAAATGCGTGTGGCAGAGTTGGCTTGGTGATGTGCACATATTGTATATCTTCGTTTTACGCTCTCGTAGTGTCAGAAATATTCAACTATTTCTTTTGGTCTAGATCCATATATATTATCAAACCACTCCC